AAGAACAAAAACCTGGCATGGTCGATGGAAAGGATAGCAAGTGATAAATCAACGTTCTATAAGTGTAGCTTCTCGGGGTTTCGTAACACATTGTTTGATGATAGCTATAGACACTACTTTAGGCGTTGTACCATTGAGGGAGCCATTTATTTCATATTTGATAAGAATCAGTCCATTAACGATCGATGCTAATACATGAGAAATAAGCTATACAACGGCATGGGGAAGAGATGATCCGAATGAACAGACCTGATTTGTATTTAACAAGTGCGGAAAATATCTAGAGGAAACGCATTCCTATGAAGAGCGTGAAAAGATTATACCAGAGTCATATTTCATAAGTCAATTATCTTCAACAATATCGTGCCTAGAGGACGAGATGCTTGAGATAAAGAAGTGAATCAATTAATCATTGTTGAACATCAATGTGACGGACTTGTATACAACACATCGAATTGGGGTAGTTAATTGGGTAAAGACTCTAAGGCCATGTTTGATAGGGGTTGAATTCCATGGAAAATGGAAAAGTAATTCCATTTCCACCTAAAAAGTCACGTTTGATGGCTTAATTTTTCCCTAGAAAATGTTTTCCCAACCCCCCCACCACGCGCCCATTTTCCTCAATTTGTGGGAATTCCTTTTCCCACCATTTTGGTGGGAAAAGGAATTCCAGGTTCTGCTGGAATTTTTTCTTTAGCAATGAAAACAAATTTCATAATCAATTATAAAAAAAAAATTCATTTTAATGGACAATTTTCATGTAAAACGAAGCCAAACGAACACTAAACTTTGATGAAAAAATAGTTTTCGAGCAAAATTTTTATTTTTTTTTTAACTTTTTGGCAATGGTAACAAATTTCATAACCAATTGTAAAAAAAATTTAATTTAATGGACAATTTTCATATAAAATAAAGCCAACAAAAAAATCCAAAATTTCAAAAAAATTTCGGGTGGAAAATTATACCAATCAAACACACTTAATTAAAAATTCCCTGGAAAACAATTTCTAGACAATTACTTTCCCTGAAATTCATTTTCTTTCCACCCATTTTCCATTTTTGCAATCAAACGGACCCTAAATTCAAGAGAGTTGCAAGCATTTACAAACATTTCCTACATTGACAGTGAATTGGAAAACAATCAATTACTTTGTTTCATTGAGTACTATCCTTTAATATCATCCACTACATTTTTTTTTAAGTTCAATCCATTGCACTCTTGATTAATGATACATTATTGTATTTATTTTGCATTTTTTTTGTCTTTTCATATAGGACATTTTTATTTCATTTTTTGGTTTCTGCGAAAATAATTTGCGGTTTGGCATAAAAAATGTTGGTTATAATTTTCTGTTTCTCGTTCAATTCCTAAAATTATGCAGTTTATAGTGTTCTATTCCTATTTTCTTTTTTGAGTTGTACCCTCACCTCCACACAAGAGATTCGAACCCAAACTTTAACTTGTTACATCAGTTAATTCAGAAATTATCATTTCATTGCGTTCCTTAAAACGACCACTACAGAGAAGAAAAGAGGAAGGAAGGAAACCAGAATCTGCGCAATTGGTAAATTTTAGATTTCCTATCAACTTATTTAAGCGGAATTTGAGTAAGAAACAATCTCTCTACATTTCTTTAATTTGAATTGGACCATAACCTAAATTAGCGAAGTGGGTTATGAGAGAACTTCGTATAATGCGAGATCTTGTGAAAACGAATCATAATCATACGATGAGCGATTAATTTGATTGATGATATTTGTTACGAGGGAAATGAATGATTACTTGGCTTCTGAACAGGAATTAGGTCATACAATTGGGGGTTTTGGGTAGGATAAAATTAGTTGTAGATTGAGAACATTTTTGGCTAAATCTAATTTTAAAAATTGCTTTTTTACTGACAGAAGTTACTTAGTTTCTAGAAAGTAATCTTAAACTTAGCTGAACTTGTGCGTTGCAGCATGAGCAATGATAAAATATCAAAGAGTATATAGGTCATGTTTTTTTCCTGGTGAATTTCAGTCAAAATTTGACATGAGTTTTAATGGGTTAGGTAATTCTGGTCTATGACGCGCCCTAAGAGTTGAGCCGGCGTGATTTTTGAAGTTTACCGTGAAACTGCCTGTGAAATGTTGATTACTCGATTAAAGTTGATGTAGTTGCTAAATTCTGCCTGCCCTTTGTGTGCATTCGGTCAGTTCTGTGGTAATGTATTACACTCTTTTAGAGGGTTAATTGTGAATCCTTCATTTGCTGAAACTAATATGTGCATATTTTTGCTCTCATGTTTTTTCCTTGTGAATTTTAGTCAAAGTTGGAGATCGACGGGTTAGGTATTTCCCATCTCCTCTGTGTTCTAAAATGTAGGTAGTAAGATTTTAAAATTTTAGCATGAAGCTATCTAGTAAATGTTGATTGCTTGTTTAAATTTACTGTTATTTCTAATTTAGAACTGCCCCTTGTGTACGTATTAGCACTTTTGTCTGAATGCATTTGGGTACTTGTTTGGCCAAACATGTTTTGTCATGAATGTTATGATGTCTCAATTCTTATGGTGAACTTTCATGCTTGCTCAAGCTTATGACTGCAATGTAGCTGGTAAACTCTGTCAATAGGCTAACTATATTTTAATTTGATTTCGAAGTGGTATTTACACTTTAATTTGATTTTAATCAGGATAACTTTGTCAAATTCAATTGACGAAAATCAATGACGTGATAGTGATCATTAAATGCGTTTTGCTGTCTGGAATAAGTGTAACTTTAGTGAAATGAATTATCGTCATCATTTATTTACTATCACATTATTGATTTTCATCAATCCAAGTTATGAAATTGGATGGAGTTACTTGATTGAAATCAAATTAAAGTGTAG